GTGATTGGATGGACTTTGAAACACGAGCAAGTCTCAATGTGGAGCATCTTGTCAGATTTAATGTAAAAGCCGTTGGCCTAAAAATAATAAAATAAATTAACCGGGTGAATAAACAAGAAATAAAAAAAAATAAAACGAAATGTCTCAATCGATTTTATGTGTTAATTCTACTAACAACCAATCATAGTGATCGAACTGTTATTGATCGTGACAGCACTTTAGACAGAAAGGCGATGAAGTCTTGCAAAGTGTTCACGAAGAATCATTGATATTTTGGTGGAAAAGATGTAATGAAGAACTTAGGAAAAAAAGATGGAGAAAAAATGATTTCGCTTATTGTTTTTTGTTGTTGTTGTAGTTTTTGTTGCTAAAGCGGAAGCGAGGCGCAGTCCTGCGTAAATGAAAAAGTAATGAATTTGACAAGAAATGAAGGACGAAACAAAAAAAAAATAGGAAGAATCAACAAATAGGATGAAAGAAAGAAATATAGAATTGGCACGAAAAGAAAAGGCAAAAGAAAGATAAAGCATGAATAAAAAAAGAAAAAAAACCGTGGATGCTGAAATTCTTAGATGTAGTTTTACATTCACACGTCAGCACAGCTGACAATTGGTATTGCTACTATGATTACTGTTACTCCGTAAATACCATAACAGAAATACTCCTCTTACTACTACTACTACTACTACTACTACTACTAATTTATTGTATTGCTTAACACCAGGGGACCGTAGATGATCAATATTCTTCACAGATATCTTTTCTTATCTGTGAATCGTCAGGAATTCTTCGGAAAGATAATGTAAGGTAACATTTTGCCATATTGAAATTTAGTTTTTCTAAACATCGGTTAATAACTCCTGATAGTTACGCCCCCCCCCATAGGTGAAAGAAAGAAAGAGACGGATCTCTGTCTTTCTCAAAGCTATTTGTACATAAGTAAAGAGCAACGCATCTACACATCCAAACTACTATTACTACTATTATTATTACTACTTCTACTACTAATATTATTGCTACTCCTACTTCTACTATTAGTATTACTACTTCTATTATATCTACGTCTACTTCTACTACTATTACTACTTCTACTATATATACTATCACTTCTACTTCTGCTACTATTACTTCTACTATATCTACAACTACTTCTCCTACTATCACTATTTCTACTTCTACTACTATTACTACTATTAATTATCCTACTACTACTTCTACTACTATTTTTGCTACTTCTACTACTACTTTTACAACTTCTACTACTACTAATGCTTCTACTACTACTACTACTACTAATAATAATAATAATAATAATAACAATAATAACGACGACAGTGAAGATATAATGTAAGCGCTGGAATTTTGAAAACAAAACATCTGGTGTATGCCTTCAAATTCATGAATAATAATAACAATAATAATATTCATAATAATAATAATAATAATAATAATAATAAAATTATAGTAATAATAAAAATAATTACGTACCAATTCCAACTTGAACTAACTCTAAAACTACAACAAGCGGATTGGAATCATACCTCACAAAAAACAATGTCACTCTTTTAAATAGTAAAACACCAAATGAACTCCATAAACAAAGAAGCTGCACTCTTCCAGAAATAGAATAAGTAACCTGAAACCCTACCAACAAAATACGAAGCGAATACAATCTACGCCAAACGAGTAAAACAGAAAAATAAAACAACTTGGCCAAATGAAATTACAAAAAACTAAAAGAACAAGGCATTGTATGGCAACTAAACAAAACAAAAGGAGAACCAACAGAAAACACATCAGTCGCTAAGGCGAACCGGGTTGAAAGCTGAGATAGAAAGCCTGATCATTGCAGTTCTGGACCAAATCGTCGCAACCAGATTCTATCATTGTCTCATAATCAAGGATGGAACTAGCACGAAATTCAAGATCCGCGGAAAATATGATGAAACTGTCGACCGTATAATAAAGTGATGTCCCGAACAAGAAAAAAAATGAATATACCCCGCCTGGCTATAAAAAGGTAGCGACATATCTACGCTGGAAGATGTTCGAGAAACACAAAATCGAAACCACCGAGAGATGATATGAACACCAAACAGAAACAGTCAAAATCACTATCACCTGGGGCATGCCAATTAAAATAAAAATCAACAGAGTAGATATTATCATGAAAGACAAAAAGTTCGGGAAAGGTATGCTTACTGACATTATCAGTAACATCTGAGAGAAACACCTCCGTAATATTATCGAGAAATCGTTCAAATACGCGGACTGGAGTTCGAAATTAACAACATGAGGGGAAGGAAATCTGAGACTTTACCAATGGTCATCGAATCTCTGGGCGTCGTGAGAAAAGGAAGGAACAATTTTATTAACAGTATCGCAGATAACATCAACATACAAGTTGCCCAGAAAATCGCCCCTACTCGGAACATCCCATATACTGAGAAAAATGCTATCAATTAAATAACAATTTTTCTAGAGGGCCAAAGGACCATAG